CTCTCTCTCTCTCTCTCTCTCTCTCTCTCTCTCTCTCTCTCTCTCTCTCTCGATTGCTTTCCTTTTCGAACTGATAGTCATCGCCTTTTGAGCTTCTCGCCCCCGTACCGGTGACGTCAACCGCTTGCGTCCGCGCGGACGGTCGACGCCCCCGCAACGGGAGAGAGCTTAGACTTCGTCGTCTTCCGTCGACGCACCCACCTTAGAGAGAGAAGAGTTGCGACGATTGTTGTATGGAATCGGTGTTGGTTCGGATGACCGGGAACGCGGGACCTTGCCCGTGTTCATCACGTACCTCCGATCGTCTCATCTCGCTACCGACCTTCCCCATCGCAGATGACGACAACGTCTATTGTGATGCGGACGTACGGCACGCGCTGAGGCGGACGAAGCAAGTGTGTTGGCAAGACCCGCCTTGGGCTTGTGAGATAAGGGGGAACGGGTTTGTTTTGATTGATCGTTTTGATTCCCCGACTCTAATATTGCCTTATACGGGTTTGACGGTGTTGCCCTGGTCGGCCGCTCACGTCGCGTGGCGGCCGCAGTTTGATTGTCGCTGGTGTCGCCAGGGGGACTCGTGTTCTTGGCGACGGCTGGTCCTGGGTTACGAGGGAGCGACATGTTTCCCCGAGCTTTCCCATAGTGCGGGGGCGCTGCCCGCGCAATTTTGAACTCAGATGTCGGCGAGTCCTCCCGCCGCTTTACCCTCCTGGAAACTTTCGCGCGGACTCTGTGAGTCCGACGCCAAGGCTTGAAGGCCTCGAACCAACCACCTCCACAGCAAAGACCCGAGGGTTCGGCCACTTTGTGAGGCTGATGATGAGGCCTGAAGGCTTCGAGCCCACCACCTATCCCCCAAACCCCTGACGGTCGAAGTTTTGTCTTCCGCCGCCATGGCCCTCTCCCCTTGATGCCTTTTTCCGTTCCGATGCATGACGGCAGTTCATTTTCGCGAAAACCTTTTTGATTTTATCGTTTCGGAGTGATCCGACCCCCACGGGACTCCGCGACGACAGTTCGACTCCGGGGAAAACCTCTGGCACGAAACGAGGGCCTCCCGTTCCGTCCGGGAGACAACCCTTACGGCCAAAAATCCTCGGCCACGCCCCTCCTAGAACTCTGATCGGCGACCCCGTACGGGGAGCCGCGAGGGGGCGTGAGGTTGAGTATCACAAGCTACCCTGGGAGGAGGCGGGCCGAAACTATTGAACACATCTTTCTGCAGTGCCCTGCGTCAGTACTTTTGTGGAGAACCTGGGATAGGATCTGGCGGCATATTGTTCCTGGTGCGGAATGGCCATGGGATTGGAGGGCTATACTCCTGGGGTACTACCCGCAAGTTCGAGAGAATATCTTCGAGGAGAATATGTTCAACCTTGGAAGAAGGAGCGTCCTATGGACCATATGGTGGAAGAGATGTATCCTTGAGATAGAAGGGGCGCGGGTGGAAGACGGAGAAGTTATGGAACAGATCAGGACATTATTCCAATACGATATTGTGACCCAATGGAAGGCTGTTAAAGATAAGCTTGACCAAATGCACAACTGGGGGGACATAAACAAAGCTATTTCTCGCTTTGGCAAGACATGGCTGGGAAAGGAAAGGGAGGGATGGGTGGCTGAGGTAAAATGGTCCAGGGGGGATCTGTCAGAGAAGGAGCCACAGGAGGAGCACGGGTTAGAGATAGAAAGGGATTACCGGCTGGTCTTCCATGATTGGACCAGCGTTGACCCTGGTGAGGCATTACGAGCAGCTCAGGACTTCGCAGACCCCTTCCCCCCCCACCCACTCTCCTTAACAGAAATTCTGCTGCCTACATAAGCCAAGGGATCCGGCAGGTAGCAGTTCTTCCATTCTTCCATTCTTCCGTTCATCCCCCTCTTAATAATCTTCAACAGCCAAAGACTCCAACTGAAGAGTAGAGTGGAGATGGGACGCTGGACCCGGTTTCCAGCCCTATAGCAAAGGTTTTCTCCGGTATTCTTC